TGATTGAGGAAGTGAGTGAGCCGGTGGGCGGAGCCAGATCGTCACAGTATTTTCCTTATTGCTGCATCTACATCAATTTCTCTGCCAAATAGATAACCTCTTAGAAAATTAAAAAGCATCAACACAAACCTAAACAAAGATCGTTTGGACCTCTGTCCTTTGAGCATCAATGTAAAGAGTTTGAAAAGCACATTCAGCCATTTGAAAGCTAGTCCGGCTTTTGTCATTCCTGTTTTAATCAGAATTATTACAGATCGTGTCCTAACTCCTCTTCTGTCTGGTGCACCCAGGGGAGATAGTGAAGGCCAAACATACCCAGACTCCTTTTGCACCAAGCCAAGTACCAATAGAGTGGCAAAAATGAAATGCTGGACTTGAAAATAATAGGTTAATGACAAAAAAGTTCACGTTTTAAAATCAGTGACCAAATAATTGAAGAACTTCTTAAAGACATATACATTGCTAATCTATACTTCTTTGTGAGTTAAAATTTATCCGACACAATAATTAAATAAAATCCTTTTGCTATTTTAGATGCCTCTTTTTTTTATTTTTGTCAAAATATTAGCGTGGATTAGTGTTTGGATGTGTGACCTTTCTACTGCTTGCATTGTGGAAAACTAGCATAATCAGTCTTGTACTGCAGCCTCGTTCACGTTTTGTTTGCAGCATCTTGTACGGTCAGTGACAGACCTTGGAGATACTGTTTGAGCAGTAAAAAATGTCTGTCAAAGCTCTATGGTAACCAGTAAGGGGTTTTTTAAGTGATGGACAGAGCTTGTGCTGTAAAAGAAAATGTGGCACTGGAGCAAATGCCAAAAGCAAATGAAATTCTCTCCAGCAGTGTGGATGCAATCATCCTTATGCATGCATGTCATGGCTATCACATAACAGTGAATGTTTTTCTCATATTTTCTGTGTTTACTGACCACAAAGGAGATCATTTTTCTCATGGATCAAATGATTGAACATTTTGAATACATTTATACTAAAAGCACTCATTAATACTACATGGAATTCTTTATACAATATACTTTTATGTTTCTAAATATAATATAGCCCTTTACATCTTTATACATTTAATGTTGATTGTTTTTTCCTCAAGCTAAAATTGGGCTGACAATAAAGCGTAGTTTCTTTTATAGTGCTCAAGTGGACAATCAAAGGTACTTCTGATTATGATCCAATATGTTTCACCATGAGTAACAACTCATTCAAATGTATGATGAGTCATAAATCCCTGCAAATGTTAATGAGAGTCATTGATGACGGTCATTTAATTAATTTATTACAAGAGTGAGCTATTTTCTTTAATTATTTAGAATTTTACTTTGGACGGTTTTCGAGCTGTAAATGAATTAGTCAATATTGATCATAATTATTTAACAGTTATTGAGTCCAAAAGCCAACATTAAGTGTTAAAGATGTGCTTTAAATCATGATCGTTCACTCTGTTAATTCCAGACCCATTCTAACATTCTACATTCTACATTAAATATATTGATTCAATATTCATATTATTACAATAAATGTTCCACATCATAAAATACAAACTGGTTCTTATACAAGTGTGTCGAAGAAGAATGAAATGAACATTAAAGGGTTTCGAGAAAATATTGAAGTCGTTGGTAAACTAGCAAAACTTTTTTAAGAGCAGCTCAAAGTTTCAAGTTCAGCTTTAATTTACCTGTTTACACAGAGATGATGTTAAGAGCCAAGGGGGGACGAAGAACAATTTAAAAAGTGGTGGATAACAAAAGACCCCCCCTGCAGAGTGTCATTGCAATAGGAGTGTATTGATGTTATCTACTTTCCAGCAAAAGGTAGGAAAATCTGCTACCCTGGGGAGTTTTATTAATGACATTTTTAGATGATCTTTTTCTTATTGCAGACCTGTGGGAAAAGACACTGTTAAGTTAAGAAAGCATTTCCTGCGTTGGAGAGGAATGAGGAGGACCTGGAGCTGCTAGGGCAGGAGGGCTAGGCGTGTCACTGCGTGTCACAGTCACTGCTTGCGCACGGGGCCACGCCCTGCCTCCCTGTTCACCTGCACGTCAGCATCTTTCACAGCCTCTGTGTGGCCGTCCACTCAGCTAGTGCAGTCCTCCACCCTTCACCATTTGGCACATGACCCCTGGTTATTCCTTATTTCATATTTGATTTGTAATACTTTGTGACACTTTTTGATTTCTACTTATAATTCAAATTTAATTGTTCATTTTCTAAAATGGGATTGGTCTTTTTGTTAATGTCAGTTGAGCTCGGGATTTCTTTGGAAAAACAACTTTAAAAAGACAACAACAATCTTAATCTTTCTCATTAATGGCAACTTTGAAAAGATCAACCATAATAAGAATGGATAACTTGCTGAGACTTGTTTGTTATGAGTGTATAATTAACATGCATATTAAATCTAAAAAGCGGGTTTACCTAGAAACAGATTTTCATGTTATGGCTTATGGAAAGAGAATACTACATCTAATTTAGTATTCTGCCCATTTTCCTGACATGAAATTGCAATATAACATGGATGACTTTGACTCCACTCAATATCTAACCCACAGAACACAGCAGTTCAGCAGTTCCTCTAATCCCCAAATTGAATACCTGACAACTTTGAAATAAAATGGATATACCAGAAATTACTAACAGAATGCGATGTAATTTATGTTTAAATGTTTTTGTTTTTTGAGAAACGGTATATGGGAAAGCAGAAAATCATGTAGCTTGCCTTGCCGTTCTGCACTAATGTCTTCCAGCAAAACTGCACCCCTTATTATTTCAACCATTGCTCACATGGACAAAGACTTACCTTCATTGCCTCCTTGAAGGTTTTATGAAGGCCAGATGAAGCATAATTAATACTAATTTGGTTTTATTCCCACTGGGATGGCAACATTTTCCTCCTCCATTGCTGTTTTTCCCTCACTGACCAAAAGACAAGAAAATGAAATTAATTCTCCATCTCCCGTTGTAACAAAGGCAACGTGCCAACTCAGTTGCTGTGTGGTCAGATTTAATGACTTTTTGAGGCCACTTTGGTGTTCCACTATTATAAGCAGATTACTGAAATTGAATAACACAGCACTTAATTTAATTGATTTTTGAAAAATTGCACCCCTTACTGGCAGTGCACCGCTCTACTTTCTTGACCCCCACAGTTATAATTCTTCTACCTCTCTCAAACGTGCTATTTTCTGTGTTTACCCTGGATTGGCGAAGACAGTATTGATTGAAAAAGAATAATTTAGAGAACATGTTCGAGAATAAGAAAAAAAACAATCTGAGAGAAAAATGTGCGGAAGTGTGAAACTGTGATTTTTAGGTAGTCTCTGATGAGAGCTCAGCACAAGTTTAACAGAGCCTTCCTCTACAAGTGGTTACCGCATATCAACGGCCAAAATGCAAAACGTCCTCTCTGCCTCCCGGCAAGGTTTTCTGTTCTTACAAATTGTTCTTAGAATGACGAGAAGAGGGAAGGCTTTTTTATACCGTGTCTCTATTCCTAATTCTAAATCCAATATCCCCCCTCCCTATTTTCCTCAGGGATATCCGAGAGTATGCCAATGGGTCAGTGTGCGTGGAATGTGATGCCCAGTGTGAGCGAGCAGATGATGATTCTTTGACCTGTCATGGGCCGGTAAGTTTGTCCCAAAAATGTTTTTGGACTGAGGCACTGATTACCCACATATTGACTTCTACAAATAGTCTGATGGATGTGTGTATACACAGTTATATGAATTGGGGGAAAAAAGAGAAAAAAGTGAGATATGTGGTGTTCACATTTATTCATTTTGTACATTTCAGCCATTTTATGACGCTTATAATATTGTTGGTCAATTCTTGTGGCATCAGAGTGCGAAGAAGAGAAAGGAATAGTCATTTACACATGCACATTGAAGCATCATACACAAATTCTAGTGTTAAGTGCACAGGAAGAGCAATTTAGATTTCCAGCAGGGTGTTTGGTTGCCCTAATACCCTGCATATCGTGGGTTGTAAACAGGTTTTGTTTGAACAAACCCAAATGAATAATTCTCCCTATCTAAAAGAAAGAGATGCAACGTTTTTTGTCATCATTTTATCCCAGTGGCATTTTGCTAAGCAGGAATAACGCATATATGTATTCGTCATGTTATATATGCAGCATTTGTAAAAAAAAAAATAGATATATATTCAAAGTTTCCTTTTAATATCATATTGTTCTAATGCAAATTGCATATTTTCACTGTTTGTGATACTCGGTGTAATGGTTGTTTATTGGACCTTCACTCTCTGATGCACTGTATTTAATTAAGTGTGTGTGTGCGTGTGTGTGTGCGCACGCTGTGCTGTTTGTCAGAAGATGTTCTTTAGTCCTGCTGATGTTACGAGGGCAGTCTGTGAGAACTCATCACCTCTCTCCCCCATCCTCTACTCTACCTCCTCCCTCGCCTATATTAGCTCCATAAATCCTGTTCTAGGCGTATTGTTATGGTCATTGTGTGTGCTGTGAGCGATGGTTATTATCTGCCTGCTCCGCTCACACTGCTTTATGCGTCTCGTCTGCCCTCTCCTTTTTTTTCTACCTCTTTTCTCGTTATATTTCACTTGTTTGTACTGTCTCTCCTCTTCTCGGCTGTTCTGCATCCATATCCACCCTTTTCCCTTCCCTTATTAGTGTATAGTACCAATTACCTTTTTCTGAACTTTTCCTCTCTCCACTTCTTTTGTGTCTTGCCTCCATTACTTCTCATTCACTTTCACTCTTTCATTGTCACTTTTATGGAAGTACAAAAGTTATAGAATGTGTCAAGGACCACTTGTAGGCTGTGTGATGAGTGCTTTTCATAGTAGAGTGGAGTGGAGTTAAAGTATACATCTACTTACTGTAAACTATAGTGTCACGGTTGTCACTCACTTTTTTAAACTTTTGTAAGCAAAAACAGAATGACAAGCTCAAAGGTGAACTAATTGTACTCATTCAAATATCCTGCATTTCAATGATTGATGAAAGGTAAGAAAGTTGTTCATTTGAGAGCACTTGGTGGACTGCAGAGTTTGTGATTACTGAAGTTTGTAATAAATTTTCAAAGGTCTTAAAGAGGACCCAAACTCTTCCATTAAGGTGATTGAAAATAGGTTGGGGTGGTCCGGTACAATGAAACAAAGCCAAAACAGATGCATGGCATAAACTGGACACTACTCTTACAGTTTAATTTTAAATTATTTTGGACCAGGAGACTGCACTCCAACAAAGAGATTGTGCCCGACTTAAATGCTTGACTAAAAGTTTAAAACAGCCATTTGAACGAAAAAGAAAGCTTTCTAGCAGAAAGTTTTATGGTCATGGGAGACAAAGATAAACCTGTCTGTACACAATTCTCAGTGGTATGTGTGAAGCAGCGATAGTATTCATCCCCAAGAACACTCCACTGACTGTTTAGGGATATGGTGGAGGCATTGTGTGGAGATGTTGTACTAGCGGTGGAAAGGATATATCTATAACAGAACATAATAATAAAAGATGACTTTCAGAATGTTTTAACATAACCACAGACAGAGATGAATGTGACCGTTTATATTTAGAAATGCCTCCAAGTTGTAAAATGGACATGAACTTTATTTATAAAGAAACAGCAGGTCATGCTTAAGGTACATGTTTTAAAGTCCAGAGCTCCTGCCACATTTCTTCTATTTTCCATTATCCACAGGGCCCAGAGCATTGCGTGAAATGCCTTCATTTCAAGGACGGTCCAAATTGTGTAGAAAAGTGTCCCGATGGCCTGCAAGGTGCCAACAGCTTCATCTTCAAGTATGCTGAAGTCACCAACGAATGTCACCCCTGCCATGCCAACTGCACCCAAGGGTAAGTGCAGTCAGTACAAGGATAAGATGGACTGATGGGCTAAAATGCTCTTTTCACTTTCCACAAGAAATAAAGCAACTTAGATGTTCTTAAACGTCAATTCAGTCCAATAAAAAAGGAAAGAAAAGAAAGCGCAGTGAGGCTTTCTAAAATGTTTTCAACATTATACAAGACAGAATGGACAAAAATGGACCAATGCTACAAGGACTTTAGTTTTTTTTAGTAATATGTTTGTTTGTGAACAAACCAGAATGTTGCAAGTAGTCACTGCATCAATTTTACAAAAGCACCGATTGACCAAAGAATCTTTTGCTCTACCTCTTTACCAAGTGGCCACTACCAAAACGTATATGTATACAAGCATACACACACACATCTACATATACATATACATATGTATATCTATATAATGTTTTCCCAGTGGTTTATTCTGTGTGCTTTAGATTTTCATATCAATTACTCACAAAGCAAACAATACCAGGCTTTACTTGCAACATTATATTCTTCCAACAAATTATGCTTCCAACATCTTTTAAGAAAAGTGAGCTAGAGAGAGGAAGCTGAAAATGAGCAAGAGGCAAAAAAGGAATGACAGTGAGAAGATTCAATGAAGTACGCTGCCAATCTCCGCTGCTCGCTAGCCACTCGTCGCTCAGTGTAACATTCAACAAGGTTTGGAAAGAAATCATTTTGCATTTAACTCCACAGGGGGGTTATGTCACTTCCCTGTGGGTTATTTTCTCCTCTTCTGAGTGACAGCTTCCAGCTCGCTCAAGCATAACAATATTGTCATAAATGGAAAACACTAGACTGACACTTTGTCACAGGTACAGCTTCACAAGCAAGTCTGCCTTATATGCACCATGAAGAAAAGAGGCAGACACTTCCAAACATTTCAAATACTGACCATATTGGCAAATAACATATGCAGCCAGAAGTGCGTACTGCATATTGGAGAATATAAAGGGCAACACAAGATGACAAATGAAACAGACATTTTTCTTTTTAGAAGACACCAAAGCAGTGTAGTTTCTTAGAATATCTCATTTTAAGTCACATTTGTCTGTAGGTGCCAATAGTTTAACATTCAAAACTTGATTCCCTCCTTCTAGGATCAAGCTGCTTTACCCACCAGTTTGACATTTGTTGGTTTTGTTTATTTATATATTGTTTCTCTATGTCCCATGCAGGTGTATTGGGCCAAGACTCCAAGATTGCATTGGCTGGATGGACAGGTATTATAGTATTTTGTGTCTTGCTTTTACATTTTAGCATCAACGTAGTCTTACACAGCAGCACACAGACACACAAACACGCACAAAAAATAAGTTTATGTGAAGTTTGTGATTAATGACTGGTTCTGAGGCCTCAAATCCCTGTTAGTGTCCTTAATGCCTTTTTGTGCATGAGTGTGTGTCTGTTTGTGCACTATAAGTTTGTATGTTTTTTTAATGAACTGATAAAGCTTTAGCTTTTGTTGTGTGGCTAGAGGCAAAGAAAGGGATGGGAATGCAGCTTAGATTTAACAAAAAATGTCTTAAATTTTGTAAGTGAAACTATTTGGCATAAAGTATATCTGGGAATTGCTCTGTGGTTATGAGGGCGGAATTAGAAATAATATTTTCTTAGAATACTTTTATGAAAAGAAGCAAACCAGCACTACAATATTCTATGATAGATCAAGAGACCTGGCCTACTCAAACAACATTTGAGTTTTACTAAACAGCAAAATCAACCTCTAGCAGTTTGGTTAATGAAAGGTGAGCAGATCACCTCTCATCAGATCTCCAATGGCTCTAAATAGTGTATTGCTGTATTCCATGCACAACTATAAGAATTAGCTGCCTGCCTGTCAAACGTTATAAATCAGAATCAGAATCAGAATTACTTTATTAATCCCTAGCGGGAAATTGTTACCGTTTGCGGGTCTGAAAGAAGCTTATTAAAACATATGAGATTACACAAAGCCTTCTGAGACCATTGTTGCACCTGGGATTGATTTACATCTTATTTAGGAATTGTTTCCATATCTATTTAAGATGGATTAATCGCTTGATATCACTTCCTCCTCTGTTATCTTGTCTGATATAACTGAGTAACAGAGCTTCATCTTACATGCTCTCATTTTGCAATATAATTTTTTCATTTATTTCATGGGTATCTAATCTGTCTATTTTAATTGGCCATAGTCTTATCTGTTTAATTTAATTTGGTTTGATTTCTTTCTTTTTTGCTGATTTGAGACTGCTTTTATTGGTGCAGTATCACTGAATATGATCAGTCCAGTGGACCAGTTGCACAGGTAGCCTACAAATGTCAAACTTTTCTTTACATCTGGAGTTCCTGTGATAACGCTGAAAGTCGTCTTAATGTAAGTTTAAGGACCATTTATTGATTTGTAACTTATATTTGAATTGTGCAATACCCACAGTGGCCAATCCTGCTAAGCAATTCATGGTTATTTGTATATCTATTGTTACTGACCATGCCTTTGGTAAAAAAAAGACATGCACACAATACCACCAAGACAAGCAACTTAACATCATGATTTTTGCTAACCATCACATGTTTTAGAATTATATTATTTTTGTGCAGCCAGAGAGAAAGCTGCACAGCAGGTGTAAGAAATGACTTGCAGTCTGTGACCCGCACTCTGGAAAAAGTTTTCAGCCTTTTTTTACACTGAATTAAAACAGTCTCAGTATGCTGAAAACAAGTAGGCTTTTGTCAATGCTTGAACATTAAAGGGGGAAGCTGGTAGATACCAGAAAGTCAACTTCTTTCTGGTTCTGTTGCAACTCTGGTGCAAAAGGTTTGGAGAGCATCACAGAAAATGTTGAGGCATCTTGATTTCCAATGACAGCATCGGGGTGGGGCTTAGAGTTTACTTTGATGATGGATTTCAATGTTTTTGATCTCATTCTCACTTTTAATGAAACAAGATGGGAGGACATTTCTTATCCGATGAAGCTAGGTGAAAACTTACATCGACTGAAAGGGACTGGTTTAAACATCACCCACATATACTTAAAAAAAATATGTTTAGATCTTGTTTGCTTTAGTTTGACCGTAAACTTGAGGCTTACTTCTTCTTTATGTTTACCCATCTGTGAAACACTGCTCGCCATGTGGTCTTCATCTGTTTATATTTACTCATCATTCCACTCTGCCTCCTTGTCTTCAGAACTCCTTTAATTGCAGCTGGAGTGATTGGCTGCCTCTTCATGGTTGTGATCCTCATACTGAGCATTGCCGTTTCTGTGCGCCGGAAGAACATTAAAAAGAAGAGGGCCCTTCGTCGCTTCCTGGAAACAGAGGTAAGTGGTAAAGCAGATGGATGGAAACATGAGTTTGTGTACATTGCACAAAGAGGTAATGAAATGCAGCCGACCATGGTGAGCTTAGTTTAAGCAGTTCACCTAAAATGGGACTTTTAGATTTGCTTTGATTAATCTTGAACTGCTTCAGTGCACTTTGTTTTGTTGCCTACCTCATGTAGTTGTGTGTGGTTGTGTGTAGTCACCAAAAAGATGATAGAGGGAGAAGGGGGCGACACATATATTTAAGTGGTGATATCAGAGGGATAGAAAGTTTTAAACACTCTGAGGTTCAGCTGTTGACTTTGCCATAGTATATCTGAGAGTGCCCTTGTTTTTGGATGAGGTGAGGGACCATACCATTAAAAGAGGAAAGGGTGCTCTTTCTATGATAAAATAAGATGAGTACATCATCATAGAATGCATTTGTGTTTCCACAGTGAGATTAAGGTCTTGTCTCACTGCTTTTTCTCTGTCTTCACAGCAGACAAGTATCAGTAAAGTTCCTTGAAAAAGGAGCTAGTTGATGAAAAGGCTGACTATCAATGTCAGTGTTAAAGCATATTGTCTTGCAAAATGTCAGCATTTTCAGGAGGAAAAACCTCACATAGTGATCCGAGGATAAATTCACTTTCACCCAACCCTGCCAAGACATCAGCATACTTAAAAATCTTGTAAATTTTCAGGGAAGTGTTTTTAGTAGGTGCTCCAACAATGACAGATGCCAAATCTGTGAGAAGAAAAGGAATCTGGAAGTAAGAATAGGAAAGGAAAGTGTTCGATTTAAAAATGTAAACTTCAAATCAATTCCTATGCTGCGATTGAACGTGAACCACATTAGTTTTCTGGCAGCAAAAGACAGAATTCCTCTTAAATATTCAACATTGTTTACTTCCTTTTTTATTTCTGCAAGACACTTTCATCCTGTTCAGATATGTTTGAAAGACTGAATATCGTGCAACAACACTTTATCACATCTCTATCCACAAAGTGGAATTTGTGTTGATAGTTTTGTGTTTTATACCAGAGCAGAATGTCTACTGTCATCTATCAGGTGAAGGCTCTCAGAGGCAGAGTGAGAGCCAGAGAATGTTTTGAATGGACACACTGCTTTTGGTTTGGATTCAGAACCTCTTTGTAGAGGAGCAAGGTGGGCCGTGACACCATTCTGTTCTATGGCAGCTGCAAGCACTCAAAGTCTTCAGCACCACTAATGCTGGACAGCTCCCAGCACCGAGAAATTACAGTCATGGGTTTCTGTGTGTGCATGCTTGGATCATTTTAAACATATCTCTGTTGTCTTGTGTGTCTCTGTGGCACCCCTCCCCACTTGTTCCCACCCAGTAGAAGCTGATTTGTTATTCCATTTAAATGAAGAATGGCTATTGTTTTTAATCAAATGGTAACCATAAGCCAGAGGGACAGAAGCTGTCAACCACAGCCAGGCTGATTTACGCTCCTACTCTTTTACTCTGTGTGCTCCCCCTCCCTCTATAATCTTCCAGGCTTTTTTGTAATTCTCTGTATATTGCTCCCTCACATATGCTTTTGCTCCCCCTGACTAAATCAGTAGCTTGCTTCTCCATCGCAGTCTTGTTGTTCTTCTGCCATAGTTCTATTCCCACTTCAGGTGTTTCTACTCTCTGCTTGGATATAGTCTTGCTTCCATGTTTTAAGTCTCCAGCTAATCATTCTTTCTTCTGTTTGGAGGATATCGCTGGTGATTTATATATTGAAGACTGCATAGCCATAAGAACTACTGCCGTTACAGTACTGAATGTTTTGTGTTTATAGCTGGTGGAGCCTTTAACACCAAGTGGAACAGCCCCCAATCAAGCCCAGCTTCGCATCCTAAAAGAGACAGAGCTCAAAAGAGTCAAGATCCTTGGGTCTGGGGCATTTGGAACTGTTTACAAGGTAATTTACAGGGAATGAGGACTTTGAAGAGAAAATGAATGTACCGTCATACTTTGCAGAAAAATGTTTATGCATGCATTAGTTGTATGCATAAACCTAAACTTGCATGCTTAAGTTGAAATATAGAAAGGCCATTTTAGATAATTTGTTAGACACTAACTTGAGTAGTGTAACTCTTTATTTATGCTTTATTTCTGCCTTTATTTCTATTTTTGGTAAAATTGTGTGCATAAAAGTTCTTATGTGATTCCTACTATTGATAATTCCAAGAATACTTTTATGGTATTGATGTGTAGACATTTTGACCACTAGTAACAGTCTTAAATGAGAATATTAGCTTTTTTTTCTTTGTGGTTTTGTGTGGAACAGGATTCCATGACTGCTTTTTTTGCCTTCACTTTACAAATTGGGCTGCATAAGTACCGTGTTTGTATGGGATTTTACATTACATAAAAAATTATTTTTATAGGTCCAGTGGACTTTGGCGTATACGAGGTCACTAACTTAGCTGACCTGATTTCTTCAGGCAGCTCAGTCCATTCCTTTGAGGCCCTGACTACAAATCCTCTGTCTCCCCTGGTTTTCAAAATTGCCTTGAAAAAAAAAATCTTCTTTGCCCCAGGACCTCGGGATACATAGAAGCTCATATGTGTCTAAGAGGTCAGATATGTAAAACAGAGAGACGCCATGTAGAGCTTGAAAGGCCATATGATGTCAGACAGTCTCACATCATGAGGACAAAGAGGAGTTGGAGACCGGGAACACTAGTGACAAGATATGCGATGGAAGGCTGTAGGGCGGGAAATAAAAAGACTTAGTAATAGCAGCTGAGCACCCTGGGGTGACTATGAAATAGAAGGTAGCTGAGGTCATCACCAGTACAAGTGCATGGGTTTGGGCAGGGCAGTGAATACACAGCTAAATGGAGAATGGAAAACAGATTGGGTTTTCTAAATTAATTCTTTTTAGTTATGAGTATTAAGTAAATAATTATCCTGTGGGAGAAAACCAAAGAGCCCAGCCAGGCACATCTAAACATTTTAAGTCCATAATGACAGATTTAGAACTAGAGTCCCCTTGATCTGCGGTTGCCATGCTGACCACTATTCAACAATACCATCCATAATCAGTTGTATCAATGAGTACATGTCGACGCTTGTTTTCATTTGTCATTCTTTCAGATGGAAACAGAATAGTCCAGTGTATATACATAAAAAAAGGTAAAACAGAAGTAAAAAAAAGCATGTCATAATTTTTGCATTTCTGTTTCTGCTTTAGGGTATTTGGGTCCCAGAGGGTGAGACTGTGAAGATTCCTGTCGCTATTAAAATCCTTAATGAGGCCACTGGACCCAAAGCTAATGTGGAGTTCATGGACGTGAGTTTCTTCGATTTTTTTTTCATACTCTGGTTCCTTATTGGCTGAAGTCTGATATTAGATTTCTGTAGTTCAGACACAGCTCTTACATAACTATGTTTTCAGTGCATTTTTTTCTCTATCATGCACAGGTGGAAATGATAAATACTGATCCTTTTCTAATTCTTAGCCCGAATGTGGTACTTCATCCATACATTTATTTGAAAAATACCAATTCCACTGTTAATTTGGACTTCACTTGGCACCTTCGTAATGGATGAGCTTTTAAAAATACAGCATTGTATGCAAGTCATTGTATAAATGTCCTCAAATGGACCAAAAAGGTGAGTAGCTCAGCAGATTCGATGAAAATAAATAGTTATTCAGTAAAACCAGTTATTTTTCAATTTGCTTCTTCTAAATTGCACCGATTCAACATCGAAGGTCCTCTCAGAGCAGTTTGGAAGACGGTAAATGGACAAAAAAAGAAACTAATTGGCAGAAACGTGGCCGATGAAGTTCTGAAATTAATAACAGGGCATCGACTCAGTTTAAGTGTCAGGGAATACACACCTTAAATGCAGTCAGCAGAAAATGATTTTATTCTTAAAGGAAAATACAACTAAAGTGAAGCTCTGTGGGTGAAATAAAGCTTTTTAAAACAAAAGATAGTCCCCAAAGACACCACCACAGGCCCCCCTGGAACCCTACACATGCAGACATGTACACGCACCATGCTGTAGGCTACCGGCACAGAGCACAAGACACCACTTATAAAACATTCACAGCTTGAGTCTTTTCAAAAGGAAAAAAAAAACATAACAAAAAAAGAAAACTAAATTATTACAAAGTGATGATGCAATGCACATGAAATAACCCTCATTGACACGTACACATCGAAAGCGACCCACTTGCGCTCGTGATTTGCACTAAGTTTGACAGTCTAAAAGGAAGAGAGGGTGTTAGCGTTTCTATTTTTATCAGGACGGCTTTGATGAATATCACATGTGTGCTTAATTTTATGTTTTCTTATTTTGAGAGCTTGTCTGACAATTAGGAAATCTGATGAATGGATAAAATGTAGCTAACGCATATAGGGTTATGTAGATGCAATTAGCAAGCCATATGAGGATCGTGATGATCAGAACTGCCATTCTCTTTGTTACCAGAATGACTAAAGTATAGTGTCTGCTGTTCCAATGAGCACATTGATCACTGAGGATTTGGGGAGGAAAATCTGTATACATAGGTATATCCAACCATGTCCCTTGTTGTATGATCAATGAATTTTATCTGACATATTTTATCAAGTCAGAGAGTTAAAATATTACTTGTTGAGGGAGGATTTAATAAAGCTCAACTGTTTCAAATGTGTCAATATATTCACGAGGTGCAAGACCTTTAATAAAGTGCTGTAGGGGAATTTACGCTAAAGAATAAAAAGCACGGTATGAAACCAAAAGTATTTGACCCATCAAATCATGCGATCCATACAGATATGTTTTATTGACTATTTGACAGCAGCTGACAAAATCTCTGCTTCCTGAAACACCATCAGTGGTTTAAAAGAGGAAGGCTGTCGTTATTTTTTTCTTCTCTCATCTTTTATTACTGAGTCCAACTGGGCATTCTGAGGGGTGACCTTGTAGCTGCACACCACTTGCCACAGACTGTTTGAAGAATGTCGCACAGGATCAATTGTGTGTTACATGTGTGTTTTCTCCCAACATTCTTCCAATAAACTTTAGAATGATTTAAAGGAGGGAAATTTAAAAGAAAATAAGTTTTAGACAAATTAAAAGAGA